CGGGAGAAGAATGTAATGTGTGTGTAGATAGTGAGTAATTGAACTGCAGTCACGAGGGTATTGTTGAAGTTAACGTTCGTTCGTTATAGTGTTTGTTTTATCGCGAATATTGAAATTAAGTGTATCGTAAAGTTATATTCGGAAAGAATAAACCAGTTTTATTAAGTAAAGACTTGTGTCGCTAAAGTTTCGTCGGAACGAAGTTACGGAAAGTTAATTAACAAACGGAGACGTAACAATATACACTTTAGATATACGTAATTGATATCATGCATACTTTAAATAAAATTTGTTAAATCTCTTATTATTTAAAATTACATGTAAAGGTTATTTGAATTTGAAATGTATAATTAGAATGAACTGTTTTATTTAAAAACAAGTTAGTCAAAAAGCTGACGTAGGGGTAGCCTAATATCTAGCTACGGCTATGACTTTATATGATCTGATATAGCTCTAACGTGTTCTGAATATAAAAACTTTATTCTGCTAAAAGTTGAAATAATTAAAAATATAAATAATTATAAAAAAAGTTTTGCCAGTATTCACCTGGCATAATATAGTAAATACTGGCAAAAACGTCGTTTTAATAATTAGTTTTCTTTTTAAGTATTCCAGTTTTTTAGCCAGATAAAGTTTCTAAATTGAAACTCTATTATCCTCCTATGTATATATATATTATTAATATGAACATGGGACAGCGATATGTTTACGGACTTTTTATGCTAAAGTCCAGGGCTCTATTCCCCGCGGCAGATATAGCAGATCGCCCAATATGGCTTTACTCTGAACCAAAATAAAATATAAGAATACCCTGTCCATCATGCTCCCCCATGCGATAGAAATGCAACTTATTAAGAGGCTGCTCAATACAAAAGGAGAAAGTGTATCCACGCCCCCAGGAAATACCGTCAGGAGACTATATTGGGATTAATAAGGCCAGTTATTACTTGCCTGTACAGTAGAATAATAAAGATAACGATATGAAACTGTTCTCCGAAATTCGTATGTGGGTGAAATTAGTTTTTGAAACAGAGACCGAAAATAATGCCTTTCCTTTTCAAAGACTGCACATACAATTTTTTGTTCTTGGTGTCAAATATAAACTTTCCGAGATCTTAGTGAGTATATATAAATAAATGTTATTAGTTTTTGTTTGTTTGAAGTTAAGCACAAAGCTACAC